AGTTTTGGACAGAATGTGAGTAGGCCTAACTTCATTAGCATACAAATTGTGATGTCCACCATTGAGAGTCGCTGACAAATTATAGATGGCGTTCTGAGAGCGCGCTAGATACCGATGATCATGGAATAACCATCACGCTATTACACTTCCACAGGCATCAGTGTTTCAAAACTCGGCAGCTGTTGTTGTTGACTTTTATATAGCTGTAGAATGTACTGCATTAGAACATGGCAACTCATCATGAAACATCTGACAGTTGCCGATATATGATCTCATGTATCAACAGAAATTGGTTCTTGTTTATCAGCCCCCCTACTTGAGGCATAAAGACACACGGGCTTGAGAAAAAATCAGAGAAATTTGAATACAGCTGATACAGGGGGTACTGAATTCATTAATAGCACAGCACAGCAACTTTCCCGAATTGCTATCAAATACTTTCTGAACATTGGTACGTATGTCCTTGCTGATCTTGTATTTTGTCGTTTATCGATCAAACTTTGTCATTCAGTGGATACTTAACTTCTCTGGCAAAGTTTTGTTTTCACATCTGCTACTGACTACTGTTATGCTTTCAACTTCCAAAGGTTTCTTTCTCTTCCCTACCGTCGTATCGAAGTTGAACGAAAGAAGCTTTGAACCTAACGACATTTATAGCATGATCTTATTACTGTAATGCGTCGGGGTATCGCCGCGGCATTTAAACTGTAGTGGAACATTCAAGGGTAAACTTGTTTCGCCGAATGAGCAGTGATTGGAAGGCTTAAAGTTAGTCATTCCTGATTGACTGCGAAAATTCCGCTGCTCGTAAAGAGCTGGATTCTGTTAGCTAAAATCGACCGTTGGAGAACCGGAAGTCAACATGAAGTCTGTCTGCATTACAAGTTCTGCTGTAGTGAAGGAGTCAGTGTCATACAGAATGATTTGTGCAGCATGTTGCGTCTCTATCACGTCCCATCTTGTGAAATGCCGAACCAGTGCGCAAATGATGCATTTAATTGAATCCGACAACCGTTGACGCTACAATACGCCCCATGAATTATGCTTTAATATGAAATTATACTTTTCTACATTGTATGTTTATGGTAATTGCATGGTACGTTTTTATACTTACATACGTTTTGCATAAATTCACTTTAAAAGAGGAAGCGAATAATGCTGATGAATGATCAAAGATTTGGTGGTACTACCACGTGTGAAATTACCCTTTCTCGGCGTCGAAGCTAGCTTCAAATTTGAGCGAAAAAACTTAGAAGAGTAGTATGGATAGAATTCAGTCATGAAGAATTCGTGGCCTAACAGGTATCAAATATATTGTATGGAATTTCGTAGGTGCGTTTAAAATCGCGTATGTTTGACAAGTGTATGAGCCTACTTTGCAGGTTGCCGATGTCAGTTCCTGAATCATGGATGTGAACCCTTAAACAACCAGCTTAGGAAAGATAACAGCTGAAAAGTGGTGAAAAAAATTAAATTGCTCCGGCAGGGCATTTCAATGAACGTCTCATTTTGTTCACTTCTGCCTGCACATAGTAGCACTGAAGGAATATTCTGAGAATCAGAGAATGACGAGAACGACGACATCACTGAATCTGCTCTGAATTTTTAGATTGTAAATCGAGCAGGTGCAAACAAGGACGTCTTATGTCTTCCTGCCGTGAAAGCCGAGATGGTTCAAGAAAGGTGAGTTGATGAACCGTTGAGAATGCCTCCGTGATGAAGCTTGCTCATCGAATACTTACAGGGAATCATTGCTGATTCGGTTGATCGAACTCGTGAAACTGTCGCGCGAAAACTTCCAGAGGAAGCGAAAAATGGCCGACCTCGAACCGTACCGAGAGATGTCGGAAACGGTCAGCAAAATCGTCTGGATCAAAAGAGAGGAAACAAAGGTAGATTTTGATTGACGATTTAAAATTCACCACCACGTCTGGTGCATGCTTTTCTAGGTACTGGAAGTTTTGCACACGTGCAGTGACTTCCTTGCGGATCTTCCACAGTTTTCGGATTTTAGTCGCTGTTCATCGGATTTCGTCACCGAGCTGAAGTCGTACCGCAATGAAGAGTTTGAGAATTGGTGTGCTGACATGATTCGCCAAGTGGATGACTCAGCTGACTCAATGCGGTAAACACTTCATTGTATGAATGTACATTAGCGAAAATCGCTGAACTTGTTGAGCTAGGCGCGTCTATCTTGAAAATTTTTTAAATTATGATTGTTTATACGCGTCAATAATTGTTAATCTAACTTTTTCTCATCTCGTTGCACGAGAATTACCTTAGGTGCAATGGAGACATTCTGTCTCGATCGAATATAGGCATTCTCGAAATGCAGCCCTTTCGAATCCATATCAATTCTTGTCATATTGGAGAAGGTCTTTCTGGCTTCTACCTAACCATCAGGCTTTGCCTTCAATATTCGTTTCTCCTGGCGTCAGTCGCTAACTCATTGAAAATGAACATGCTTTCTTAAAAGTTTTGCTGTAGTCAGTCCATCGCGTTCCGCATCCTATTCTCTCTTTAGCGACAGCATTTGATCCCAGATCATACCGTTTAACGTTTAACAATCAGTAAATCGGTTTTGACGACTTCTAACCCCTTCGGTTCGCGGAGGCAGCAGCGTCCGATAGCGTTACCAGTGTTCCCGATCTCGTGTCAGTGTCTGAGCTTCTGCGGGAGAAAGCAGTAACCTGAAGCAACGTCCTTCGAACCACTTGCCCCAGGTTATTCTGAACCGACACCACGGTCTTCAGCCGGTCAGTTGAGCATGTAGCAACTCTTTCACTTTCCCTACTGGGAACATTAGCAAATCGTATCCAAACTATCGTAGCTGTGACTTCTCAGTTCGGAGAAGCAGCGGCTGTACGCTTATGATTTCTTGAATATTCAGATTTTTGCGCTCCAGACCATGTTGAGACGCGTGAGTTCAGCGATTCGTCTCAGAAAACCCGTTTCACTTGCTTGCACGAGGATCAACATTTTTGATTCATGATTCATCGATCATGACCACAGATGAGAACAAGAATGAAAATCGACTTTAATACAGACTTCTTAATCTTATTCTTAATCTTCGTTATATCTACTAATCTTTAAATATTCATCCAATTTTCTGTTTTAAGCTCTTTTAAATGCGGCTGCCTCCAAACCATAGAGCTATAGACCATGTTCAGAATGCAGTTCATATATAACGCCATTGTGTGCTGTGGCCGATATTTTGTCGCACTAGAGCTCACTGACTGCTAGTGCTCGAGCAAACCGCCTCTCAACGTCGCATGCTCTTCCTTCGTCTGCAACGAGACTACCGGTACCTTCTGCTCATCGATAAGATTCAACGCTCTGTCCTATCTTGCTCAGAATTTTGCATGAAAGAATTTACTCAACCTACTGTGGTTTTGCACTGTACATGAGGAAAGCTCATACTGTTTTAACTTGGATGATGTCCTTCAGTCAAGCTCCGTACAGTTTACCAAGTTCCTATAAGGCATTTTTCCAAATGAATTTAAAGTTTTTAGAAAAGCAAATGAAAATAATGAGGTTCTATCTACATTCTCCTTTCTTTTCTAAAGGAGTTTCCTTATAGTGGATATTTGATACATCGGCCCTTTGCTTTTTTGTCTGTCCGAAAGCTGAAATGTTCTGTTCCAATGAGTTCCTCGAGGTATTGTGTGAATTTCTTCCCAATAATGATGAGCAGTTTTACAGTGACAGATAATAAGCTTATGCCGAATTTCTTGTCGGGTCTGTAATACTTGCTTTCTTGAATATGGCAATCACAATTTCGATGCCCTTTCCTGAAAGGACAACTTTCTGGCGTAGTTTATGTAGTCTGGCAGCCAATTTGTGATATTCGATGCTCTGCTTGACTATCCTCGAGATCACGCTTTTAACAGAGACCACTCCTGACGCTGTCCGGATTGTTCAGCTTAGGCAGGTCTATTTCAGATTTATCGCGAAGCCTTCACCTCATGACTTTTTTTGTCTAAGGTTTCTGCAGATTCTCATCTAACGGAACTATCGCATCATGTGTACTGGCACGCTTATTCTTGAGGTTTAGAATTAATATGGCCTTTAAAATTGCTCTAGATTCATGGCTGTGAACCGAATATACTGAATAGACTACAGTTTGTTGATTCATGGTTTCAGGCAAATTAGATTAAAGTTGACCTCACATTATCACTCAATAACCTGCAATAAAATAATTGATATATTTGGGCTGTTGTATCCGACATAACAGTCAATGTGATAACCGGCTGGGAATCACTGATCGCATAACCACATTTCTCTAACGCCTTCTTGTTAGACGATAATTGTACACCGTATTTCCACAGAGATTAAATTTCAGTTATTCTCTTGGCGCTGGTCTAAATTATAGTGACGTTGCTCTGGCGCTGCTGTTATTTATGGTTGGCAAGCTCTGTACAGCCGAAAGGATTCACTGCCTAATGTTGCAGTTCGAGCTTTCCGTTTAATGAACATGACCATGAAGGCGATTCAGAGTCATAAAGTATTTACAAGCTGCCGTTTTGGAGAAAACATCATAGACCATCAA